AGTGTATTTTGTATAAATGAGTCCCATATTTCATTATACTTGTCCATACAAAGTCTATGTCCATAGGTGATCTGCTCATAAGTGGCAAGTGAATCAGGTCTTCAGCAGAAGAACAGTAAAAAAAATAAAAGAACAATGAAATAAACAATAAACAATGAAATAAAACTAATCAACTCCTCAACCAATGTGGAGCAAAACATGCAGACCCAGCTCTGCTAACATCCTGGCTTTGGAGAAAAGCCAGGTTTACAAAGCCAACAGGGTTGAGGCCATCCAAATGCTTGTGTGTCCTTTTCCTTACATTTCTAGCTTCCTCATTAGTGCTAGAAAGTGGCCAATTTAAAATCTGGGGTGGGAGAAACAAGCTGTTTTAGATAGGAAACTTTGGAAAACTGCTGCAAAAGTCTGAGTCACCACTAGATGGCAGCAAAGAGAATTTTCTGCAACTTATTTCTGCAAGTAGTGGTCAACCAGCTTTTCAGGATCCAGATTTGACAGCCCTAAACCAGGATATTCCAGTAGCTGCTTGAGTTGGGGGATATTTTTCCTACTTGTCCATCAGCTAATCTTGGCTGATCTTGAAAGGCTAAGCTTGGACCTGGTTAGTATTTGGATAGAAGGCCATGAGAAAGCCTCAGGTTGTAGGCTTGACTGAAAAGTTGGAAAAACATCGTTAAAAAAAGGACAGTGTCAAACCACTTTGGTAGAGTTGCCAAGAAAACTTAATGAGTGTGTCCGTGCAGTCAACAGGAGTCAAGCTTGCCACCATTCCTTCCAATGATTTAGAAATTGATATTTCTTCTAAACCTGCATTTGCTTCTGGCTGGTAGATTTCAAGAGAAATCTTAGTGAGTCAAACATCTCTTCTACATTTCATAAGACCCAATGTGCATATTTGTCATAGACTCCCTCAGTTTTTTGGGATGTTTAATCATCTTGTCTGATGATTCATAATTCTTGATGAAAAGTTCTTGAAACTCAAACATTTGTAACGGTTTATTAAACTTTCCATTAATTTAGTAAAAGTCAGATTATAATCTGATGTTACAATTTCTGCTTGTGGTAAATTGATTCTCTCTCTCTCTCTCTTTCTCTCTCCCTCCCTCTCTCTCTCCCTCTCTCTCTCTCTTTCTTTCTTTCTTTCCATTTCTATAGCCACCCATCTCAACAAGTGACTCAAACAGCTTCTGCAAGAGCTAGCTAGCTCTCTTTAGGGCTTTTGTATGTGTGTGGATGATTTCTGTGATGCATCTTAATGTATTTTTAGTTTGTATTTTCATGGATTTTGTTTGACAATTGGTCAACATGAGCTGAATTCTATTGGAAAGGCAGGATAGGTGTGGCCCTAAATAAATAATGCCTTACTTTGCTTCGTAATTCCAAGGTTTCCAGGAATGTCATTCTCTGTCCTGTGTTTGCAGACCCTGGCAATTGTGCTCCCCAACATTTGCTTTGCTACAAGCCTTGCTGTGAAGCATCGCCCCGCTGTTTTATGACCTGTACCTGGGAGGCTGGATGTAAGGAAGATGTCAACTACACCCTAAACTTTAGGTGAATGCTGGCCCAAGCACATTGATAGATAGATAGATAGATAGATAGATAGATAGATAGATAGATAGATAGATATAGTTTTGATTGATTGATTATGTGCCATCAAGTTGTTTTCAACTCCTAGTGACCACATAGATAGATTTTCTCCATAAGCATTTATCCCGTTCTATTTTTTAATTTAGAAGCGTAAAAACCAAATGTTCAGCCACACAAGTCCTCTAGGCAGCTTATAAACATTGGTCAAAAGCACATGGCAACCGAGGCAGAGTTAACCAATTGCAGAAGCAAGTTGTAAGGGAAAATCAAAAGTGTGAAAAATAACATCTTAACAATTTTGCCTAAAGTAGGATGGGTAACTTTTTGGCTGATGGGGCATTAATAACCAGGGGAGAGGGCTACAATGGCAGGGCAGTGATGCTGGGATTTGCAATTTCTTCCTCTGAATTTTGTTGAGGAAACATGGGGGGCTTCAGTTTTAATTCTCCTGAGGGATAATTGATAGTTGATAGTTGACCTCCCCCCACCCATATCCTGTTCCATGAGTTTTTCCTGATTCAGCCATCATGCTTAAGTTATCGTTTAAATACATTATTTATTTAAGAATACTATTTTATTGTATTTTAATTAGTATTTATTCTTGTTTTTATTGTAAACCG